CTCCTGCCGCGTTCGACGTCAGGAGCGGAATCTCTCTCAGCAAATTTATGCTCCTTTCTTAACCAATCCGAGGTTCTCTCGCCTTCCAATCAACTTGGTTTAATCTGTATACATTGATTTTACATTATGTCTGTTCATTTGCTGCAAATCTATCCACAATGACTGAATTTGAGTTGGTTTTTCTTTTGTGTGTTCCGTTGTTTGTAAATTGCTCTACTTATGGTGCGTGTTCTGGAACTTACACTGTGTGGACTGAGGTTTACGATTGCGTTTGTGGGGGTGAATATTTATTTGGTGAGATGATCATTTCCATGGTAAAATAATGCGGATGCTCGAACAATTGTTAGGTCATGTTGCTGTGATATTTTGTTATGAATCTTTTATATGCAAAATTCTGGTTTAAATTTGTTTCGAAGCGAATTTATTGTTGGTGTTTTCGTTTTGGACACATGGTTATCACGAGGCGTTTAGTTTATTGAATCAACAATGTCAACCAAGCTGGGATTAGAAATTCATTTCCTTAGGGGGCGTTTAGTTTGCTATTTTCAGTTTTCAATTTTGTATAACACCCTAAACTTGTTTGGTTTGATATTTTTGAAAATGCATTTTTGAAAACAAGATTAGATTTATAACATAAAAATCAAAACATATGTTTGACTTAAAACATGAGGAATAAAAAACTCCAGTTTGTGTCCCATTTGATTTGAGATCTGAAATTTGAATTTTGGCATAATTTCGAATTTACCCTGGATTGTTGTTTAGGCCAAAACCCGAAAAAATTACAGAGTGATACATACATCAAGAGAATGGCAGAGTCATCTGAGGGTGAGGAGGAAGGGAAGCTGACCGGAGGGAACCAACAGCTGGTAGTGGATGATGATCTCCGTGAGATGGCCAAGAAGGCCGCCTGGAGTGTCAGCTCGTGCAAGCCCGGCAATGGCGTCCTCTCTCTCCGTGACGACAATCTCGACACCTATTGGCAGTAAATTACCTCTCTTCTAGTGTCCCCAAAATGAATGTGGTGCATGATTTTTTTGGCTAATTTTGTTTGTTTATGTTGAGAGAAAGATGAGATGGTGTCATGGTGATAATGTTGCTGTTAAAAAATGTTCTTTGTGAAGTTTCTAAAGTATAGAGTTGAAGAGTTTAGTGGATCGACGTCAAATATATCTTGGAAGAATGATAGATTAATGGATGCTTTTCACAGTTTCAATTTGTAATGAAGTAAAAATAATAAGAATTTTTTGTTAATGGTGACATTGTATTTGGTGATTTGTAGATCAGACGGTGCACAGCCTCATTTAGTGAATATTCAATTCCAAAAGAAAGTTAAACTGCAATTGGTTGTTCTTTATGTTGATTTCAAGCTTGATGAGAGCTACACACCTAGTAAGATCTCAATTCGTGCTGGCGATGGTTTCCACAATATGAAGGTAACCTTTTTTCTGTTAAACATAAGTATATAGACATTTTTCTTCAGGTGCTGCTTTCATAATTGTGTTGAGGGTATCAATTTCTGAACAATTCTATATTCACTTTGACACTAAAGTTTCAAATTCGATTTTTTTTCTTGCAATGATTTTTAGGAGATAAAAGCAGCGGAGCTTGTGAAGCCAACTGGTTGGGTTTATATATCTTTATCGGGGAGCGACCCAAGGTGAGTAATTGATACTTTCTAGCTCTATTGGATTTAGAAGTTTGAATGTCCATATCTATTGTATAAATTGGTTTTGTATTTTCTTGCTTCCTTTCTAGTTGCAGTTTGATTATAATCTTCTGTATTCGCATGGTAACTAGATGCAGTAGTTGACATCCTAGTTGAGACTTGCATATGACAGGATGGCCATATAACATAGTTTTTAAAATACTTGCATACATCCATACATTAGTCTTGATTTCAAAATAGAATTGGTCTGAGATGCGAAATTCCGGTTTTGAGGATGCATCAATGAAGATTCTGAATTTACAATCTCTTTTTTGTTCTCATATCAAAAAAATTGTAATAGCTTGTACCTTTTGGACTAGCCAATTGTTGAAACTTGAAGCCATCCTTCTTCGTTCTTGATCCGTATCTATTACTTCAATAAATCCCCGGTTTGTTCAGACCGGGCTTTTGTTTCTCCAATTTCATTTGGTGCTGTGCTTTCAAGGAAAGAAATAACTTTTTAACTCTTTATTTTAATGCTTCAATCAGCAGAACATACTCGGGAAGAGAATGCAAAGTAAAAACAGAAACAGAACAAGTTCATATGCCTATGTATATTTCTAGAATTTTCTGCCACTCCGCTAGTCATCTATATGGTTATACATTTCTTATAGAAAATGAAACTACATGCTGGAAATGCCATTAGACACGGAAAAACTAGTTATAAAAGTCATCAGGGTTGTATCTTTTGCACTTCATTTGGCAGATTTAGGGGGAAAAAAATGACAAATGTTTTTTATTCTGTCTTCATACTTCTCAATCTAAATAAATTTTTACCTGTATGTGGCAGGGAAACGTTTGTGAATACTTTCATGTTGCAAATAGCAGTTTTGTCAAATCATCTTAATGGAAGGGATACTCATGTGCGCCAAATCAAAGTTTATGGACCTCGGCCGTGAGTAAAAATATTACCTGATTTAGCCTCTTTACTACTAATTTTTTATTCTTCAGTTAACAAATATGAATATATTCTTCGTAACAGGAATCCTTTTCCACGCCAACCATTTCAGTTCACTTCTACAGAGTTCATTACTTACTCTACTGTGAGATGAAGATTTTCATATCTGAAATGATGAAATTCAAAACAAGTAGCCTCCCCAACTGCAATTTTGGAAGTGTTTCCTTTTGGATTCAACATATAGTGCTCGTTATATTAAACTTTTATCACTTCTGAAAGGTATTTGAGCCAGAATACATGTGACGATGCAATGTTGCATTGATTCCTTGCAGCATATTTGTCGTAGATATAACTATGACACAACGTAAAATGTAGAACTTGTCATTTGTTTGTCTCGCTCGTTCACAATATTCTTCTCATGCTGCAAAATGTCAATTTTAGCTGTTCATGGCTTTTATGATTGAACTGTTGTGATTTTGTTTAAATCATTGTATTTCGAATCATTGGGATTTTCATATGATAATTTGAGAATGAAAACTCTAATGCAGATAAATGGTCAAGAAATTTGGATACTGAATCGCCTTTGTACATAAAATCTTGACAAGCTGAAATGATAATACGTTTAAGCATCCAAATATCTGAGCTGCTAATAGATAAACTACTTCCTGCACAGCAAATGGACTATATTGACAGAAAATGGCATCTTCACAAGCAATGATGAAATCTCTGTCGAAAGAATTTCTGCTGTACAGTGTCATCATTCACCAAATAACTAAACTTACAGATGTCAATCGCATTAAGTAGGGATAAAAGAATGAGACCATTGAAGTAGATGTACATAAATTCATTGAAAATTTGAGAAGATCCTGCTCTCCCAGAGTTGAAACACAAATCCATGAATCCTGAAAAAATCAGATAGAATTCTCTGATATTTAAATTCGAAACAATATCATCAAGTAAGAGGGATAACATTTTCTTGATGCTATAGATGCAGAAAGCATATTATCAGTTTCACCAGATATGTACTTTGATTCCCATGTTATCCTGATGAGTAATGAAATCACAGGTGTACATTGAAGAGGTTCAAATGACTACCTTGTTGAGGTCTCTATCCTTCAGAGCACGACAACTATTGAAATTAACGCGAAAGTAACCATTCTAACTAGTATCTAGTTACCAAATGGATTAGTGTCAGAACAAATTTCTACACTGCTTTCATTATCTTTACCACATTCCAGCAAAAAATTGCAAATTAAACACTAAAAATTTGAATTAAAAAACAGGAACAAATTAAGAAATGGCAATGATAACAGCAAAAGCCCCATTAATTGATATATCAATGTAAGGAAGTTGTGTAATGAAGTACCTCATGACAAGATGACAAGTCCAAGGTAAATAGCTCCACAAAGAAATATGAAAGATATCAGTCCCCTGTAAGACAAGCTCGTTGATATGAAGAAATCCCGAATATTCACATCTTTAAGCACAAAAACAGAATGCTCTTACCATTACTCCTTCAAGAGGAAGTTATTGCATGAATGTGGTCAGGGGTATGTATAAGTTGGCTTTCTCAAACTGATTTAGCCCCCATTTTCTAAAACTAAGTTTTTCTCGAACTCATTTTCAATCAAACATTTCATGACTCATGAGATCCACAACTTTTATCAACTTTTCAACCATATATTTCATCACCTTTTATAAAAATATACTACAAATCTAATTCTTGGCTAAACCAAACAAGTGATAACCTAATTGATTGACCAGACGAGTTAGAAAAGCTTGTTAGTCTTGACTGATAATAATTATGTCATAATGGAGTTTTATGGTGTTTTAAGAAAATTTTTGTGATCATATGAAGAATAGCATTCTCCATGAGAGCTGAAATTTTGGGAGCGCTATAAATTTTTTTCTATGGCAAATCAAATAAAACATGAATATGCACATATAATCCTATATGAAACATAAGTTCCCATTGAGTTGACAAAAAATCACAATCCCAGAAGAAATATAAATCAAACATTACCTTAAGATTGTCTTATTACATGAAGCGGAACAAAACACTCATGTTGAAATACTATGTAGTATAAAATACTTACCAAATTACTCCCCATGCAGCACCATTACAAGGGCAGGGGCAAAGTTCTGCAAACTTCTCAGCATCACTAGAGTGAACCCTCCGAGATATCAAATCATCATATATATCTGTGTCAAAAAAAATTAGCACAGTGCATTCTGCCATCGCAGCGGCTTTATTCTTTTATAATGAAAGTAGAGATCATACCATAAACTGAAAACAAACTATTCATAACACCTGTAGATCAAAGGAACACGCAGCATAAGCAACAAAACAGAAAAAAGAATAAAATCAAGAGGAGAAAAACCGAAAACTAATGCAACATCAGGATTAAGGCCTACCAATGAAGAGAATAATATAGCGGAGAATGCGAACTTTAGTCGTCTCTTGTAGAACCCATACAATGGCAATAAAAATGATAAATCCTGGCAGGACGGCAAATAAGTATCAATATCTTCGGTAAAACGAAGTAATTGCATATCAGATAAAATACCTATAATTGAAGTAACTCACCAATGCAAAGCCCGCGTAACGTCCACTGTTCAACATTAAAGAAATCATTAAGATTCAGGATAAATGAAACCTCAAGAATCCTGAAAGTTTAGTCAATTACAAATTTAAAATAGCTATGCATATTTGAAACTGGCTCGTTGACAATTTAGCAGGAATTATTTTCTGAACTTACATTTTTGGCAATGAAGAGCACAATAAGAAGAGAGAGAATAAGACACCCAGCAGCAATCCTTGCAGTGAGAAGTTTTGTTGATGCAAGGATGAGAACCATACCCCAAAATGATGAACCAAGATCTATAACAGCGAAAGAGAAAATGATAAACTAACATGACCAGATAACAAACCGAAAGAAGGATAATGAATGAAAAAGCTAACCAAATTTAACTAAGTGATCTGTTATAATCTAGCATATGTGGCTAAATAAATCGTTCAGCATACTGCATACAGAAGGGTGAAATTAAGTAGAAAAGACTATTACATCCAGCAGGCAAAATCAGCCAATACACACCACCGCGTGTTTGCGTCACCCCACCTTCATTTGCATGGACTTGCATGCCCTCCACCTGCATGTATGAGACAGTACCAAAAACCTGTGCTTAGCCTAAACAAAGAGGAGCCATCTAATCGAAAAATTTGTTGTGAGAATAGATCAAAGAAAACTTAATTTTGAGTAATATTGGGAAACTAATAGAAAAGTATAAGAGAAAAACTTAAGAATACATATCTAATAGAAGTTTATTATACATGTTATGAAAAGAAACAAGTATCTTCAATCATCTTTTGCATGAGCAGATGGAAGAGATCGAATCAACAACAGATATCAAGCCTGTTGAACAAAGATTGCAGAAAGGTGTACAGTGGTAGTGGCACAACACATGTTACAAAATAATATAATGCCCAAGTTTAGTTTTAGATAAAAAATAAAATTTTTAGTAGATTTTGATAAAAATTGATGGAATGTGTGGTTGAAAAGTTGTGGGTCCCATATGGTTAAAATAAACTGTTGACTTTGACTTCGATTCTAATCTAACTTTTTATTTAAACCAAACAGGGGCATTATGTGCTGAGCATGATGAATAATGCCAACATTCTATTTTGTACCATATGATACTGGTTCATATTTTAGAACTCCTAAATTCATGATCATAATTAACTACCATTGTTGGAATAAAACGACATCCCATTTTAATGTAGTAACTATTCTGGAAATATAGACATGCTTTTCCCTCGATAGAGTTTATGCATTGTCTCTGCAGTAACCCAACAACATACATACTTAGCAAGATTTGTTATTCTGAATTATGAATTAGACCATTAAGGTATGATTTTCTAATTTCATATTTATGTACTATACTAAATACAACAAACAGCTTCTTAAAAGATTAACACTTTTTTACGCATACAAGCACATTAACGATCTTTTTCCTACAAAGATTATTCCAAATATCCAACAAGAATTGCAGAGAAAACAATTTTCATTCGACTTCTACATATTGAAAGCAGGTTTTACCTTAATGCATAGAAACTATATGGAGAAAGAGATTTTACCTCACCACAAGTGAGCTTGCAAGCAATTGCATGACTTGCTTCATGAAGAAATACAGTAATGAGCTTAAAAGGTGTCAGTAGAAATGTCCTCCATAACTGTTGTGAGCATCACAGAGCTGAATGTTAGTAACAGGAATCAAATCAAAGAACTGAAGTGAAAAATGACTTACACGAATATACTAGAGATAAATAAATAAAAATCAATGGAGAGCTCTTTTGAAATCATCCTAAAACATGCTTAAAATTGAAGAACTGAGTCTTCTGCAACATCTGATGTAGAATAACATGTAAAACTGATTGCTGAACAATGTTAATTGTCAAGTCTTTCTTTCCCAATGTCTAATCTAGAATTACATGGAAAACTGATTGCTCGATGAAGGTAAATGATTAACGGGGCTGCATTAATAGCGAAAATTTTAACAGCATTGGCATAGCACATATCGAGTCCCCTTCATCGTGGGTTGTAATTGAGCCCTGCTAAGTCAAAAAAAAGGTTGTTCAAGCCTGCCTGGATTTTACAAAAACCTCTATTGGTCCAAAAGTGGCATGATTTCTCAACAAGCCGATATGAAATGGGCTTTAACCAAGTCAAACAAGAGTCAAGCTCGTTTATCTTTAGTAACTTGCCAAATATTTTCTTGTTCGTTAAATTATCAACCAGATCTTCATCTAGCTTGACATGTCGATAAAGTCTAGCTATAAGTACAGAAACTAATAATCACATATAGGATTGCTACGATTAAATATTGACAATAAAGTTATTCCCCATAAACCAACAACCAATTTCATCAGCAAGCTAACGGATTTTTTTTACAGAGATCGTGTACAGGAAATCTCCTGTCTTGTCTCAATTTATTATCCCCTAGGTTCTTCAGATCATGCAACTAGTGATTAGGAAATTCCATAAACAAAAGGGAAAGAAAAGTTATATATATATTTTTTAAAACTGGCCAACAAATTCATAATATTTTGAAGAATTCAAAAATATCCAGAAAGGTGTATTACACATAGCCAAAAGCACTCTAACCAAAAGTGTCATGATAAACAAAAGAAACAAGAAAAGGACAACAACATGAGAAAAAAATGGAAAGAAAACATAAAAATACAACATACAGCGAGAATGACGACAGTGAAGACCCCAATAGTTGCAAGAAAGACTTTTTGATCACGCTGGCAACAATCCTTCAACTCCCAGTTTGGATTCATGTCTCCCTTTCTCTTTCTCTCTAGTTAAAAATAAAGAATCTCAATTGACAGGGTAAGAAGAAGAGAAAGAGATGAGAGATTTGTCCAGTGGAAAAACAAATCAAGAACCCAATTGGAGGAGACAGAGTGACAGACTGGCATTTTTTTTAATGTTTGTTTGAAGTTGTCTTGAGTTTGGTGTGCAACATGGACTTCGTCTCTTGGTTGGGCTTGTGAATAAGCAATGGGCCTCTATGTAAAGCTTTCGATTCTGAGTTAACCCAAGTTGTCTAGGTGCGTGTGGATACGGATTTCCTTGCAAGATAAGTTCGCATTAATCTCTCTTCATTACCAAATTCAATATGAGACTTTATTTTCCCGTCCTTTTCAATATTGAAATTTGAAAGGAAGAAGCTTTAGTTTTCTATTTTTTTTAATTTTTTTTTTCTATTTTGGGGTGAGCTTGTGAAGAAGAAAAATACTTGTAAATGTAAAGTTATAAGGTATCATACTCTGTAGATCAGAAAATTGTGAGAAAGTAAAATTAATCGAGATCCAAAGAAAAACTTCTGTTTAGTAATTTCAGAAACACTCCCTATTTGGCGGTTCACGACTAAAATGATAAGATTTAGTGTAGCAAGTTTTTGATGTTATGGTAGATTTCGGTGTGTGTAAGATAAAACTGTTGCTTTTCTACTAATCTATGTTTGATTTGGTTGAAAATTAGATTTTTAGTAGATTTTGATAAAAGTTGATAAAATGTCAGTCTGGTTAAAAAGTTAATAAAAATTGTGGATCTCATAAAATATATAATTAAAAATGAATTAAAAAAAAGGTAGAATTTAAGCTTAAGGATATATTTCTCATTACAAAGTAGAAGATTCCTTGCATGACACGGGCTTAGACTTGGGCCTGTCCACTGGATGAGAACAAAATTATGGTGGACATTGTTACTACTGCCCTATTTTAGCACAAAAAAATTGAAAGGGAAATTACCTACAACCCTAGAATTAAAAGATTAGTTTTCATAAATGAGGGAGTTAAGTTTAAAATTCAAATTTCAAGTGATAATAACTAATTATTAATTTAATATTATATTAAATAAATATATTACTAATAATTCAACCCACCCCATCAAATCCCTAACTCCCACGCCAATATCCATACCCACACCCACACCCACACCCACACCATTCCCACTATAACTCTCTCTCTCCACTATAACTCTCACTCTCTAACTATATATATTTTGTATATTTATCATCACTCTAGCAACCACCCAGATTGGCGGCCCTGTGAGAGCTACTGACGGTGACTTGCAGCGCGCAATATGGTGCACAACAATAGAAGAGGGCATTCTAAGGTGAATTTCTAGCTACTGGATGATCTATATCTAGTGTAGGACATGTTCCATGCGTCAATAAGAAGTGTAGAGGAAATGGGATCAGAGGACGATCTGTTTTCTACTTATATAAATATAGAGAATCTCCGTGCTAAAGGTGAATCTGAGATTTATTACTCTGTTTTTGACAACGTGGGTAATGAAAGTGATGGTTCTGGTGGTGGGGATGTCGATCGATGGCGGTGAAGAGAAGAGTGGCGAAGGTATTGCTAGGTCAAGGCATAGGCACAGTAATTTGGAAGATATTTTAAGTCTTGTGTTTTTCTGAAATTGTTAATGGTGGTTCCATTGATGGTGTGATGTTGGTGAGGTGGTGGTGGTAGTTGGTGTTGGTGGAAGTGATGGTGATTATTGTTTTGGATTTAGGGTGAAGGTAGGCTTGAGTTGAAGGTGGTAGTGGTGTTGTTGGTGAGTGGTCGCGGATTATGGTATTGGTTTTTGGTGTGTGCAGATTTCTTTGTAGTGACCCTATGTGACAAAATATGTATTTACTATGACGGGTGTGACCAACTTTGTCATCATTTTGACTTTCATGTGAGCAGATTAACAGTGAGTCGCAAATTAGATTGACCTAATCATAAATGGTTATATTGAAGATAAATTTGATCACAATTAGTCACATATAACACAGGTCGGTGAAGGTAGTATTTATGATTGTGGATTTGAGTTGAAGATGGTAATAGTGGTACATTGGAGGTGATGCGATGGTGGATCATGGTGTTGCTATGCAGTGTATACAGATTTGTTCATGATGACCATTTGTGATCAAGTACGTGTTTATTGTGACTGATTGTGACTTGGTCACATACCATCATAGTCAAGATTGATCTAGTTTCAAATAATCACATATAGCATAAGTATAGTCACAAACAATAAGTCTAATCGTAGATAACACAATTAGTCATAAATCCGATCACCTTCAACGTACCACCACCACTACCACAATTTATGAAATTTTTTTCTATTGTGAAGGTGGAATAGGGTACAAAGAGAGAGATTGTTTTCAATTTTTGAAGATTTTCTATCCAAGATAGGGTGGGGATGTAGAGTGTTTCCGCTAGATCGGGTGTAATTTTTTGAAATTTTTTTCGAGGTGGCGTGGGGTAGGGTAGGGTGGGTAGAGGAGGTGGGTTCGTGGGGGTGGGGATATTATTTATTGAAATATTATTATTTGGTTTGGTGAGGAAGGGTTTGGGTGCGAGTGTTGATACTATTAATTGGGTTAGAATAATTAATTTCAATTAGTAATATACCCTTGTTTGAGCCCTATTTTTTTTGGGAATAATGAATTTTTGAATAGTGTATTGATGAAAAATGTGTGCTTAAAAAATAAGGAAAAATTTTAGATTTGCGTGTAATATTATTTTATTGAAGAATGTGTGGTTGAAATGATATCAAAACACTGTTGAAAATGTATTTTTCCAAAAGAATGAGGCTCAATCAAGAGCATATATTATTAGTTAGAATTAACACCTGAATTTTGAAATAATTTTATTAATTTGTTAGTTTTGAAATGTGATTCTTATATGTATGAGTTATGTATTGTTCAAATTGAAAAGGAAAAAAAATTTGTGTTTGGGTTGTGTTTAGTGTTTAGTACGGTAGACAGATCTTTATATGACAGATTAGAAATATTTTTAAAAAAATTAATTATGTACGAGTAATTATTAAAAATTAGAAAAATGAAGTATTTTTCAATTTTGAATGAAAGTATGCACATATGGTCCACTTGACATGGCCTTTGAAAAATTAAAAGAAGAAGTTGCTTTTGAATTCGTTTGACTAATTTTATGAAAGTTTTTTTACTAATTAGAAGAATTTTTAAAGGAAGTTTGTTCAATACGACTTCTTCTAAAGTATTTTTCGGAATGAGAAGCTCTTTTAAAAATTAGTTTCTCAATCAAAAATTAAGAAAGCTTCCTCCAAAAACTCCCTTAGAGGAGGTAAAAGTAAAGTCATGTCAAACCGATCGATAGCATAATTATCCCGAAATTATTTAGAGGAAATCACAAATTTGTATTTTTAAGAGAATGCGATGACACATTGAATACAACTATTAAGCAAACATCGGACAAAAAATTATCAAACTAGAAAGTGAAATGTGGCTTAGAAATTTTCTGGAGCTACTTGTTTGTCCACACAAACATTGCATTGTAAAAATTATAAGTTATCAAAAAAGTTAATAACCTTTTTCTTTTTTCTTTTTCTCCTTTTCTCTAGCTAAGTCAATTCAAAATATTAAAAAATATATATATAGAGAAAAAGAAAATCAAAGAATACTATGTAGATACAATAAGCCTTTTCTTTTATAATTAAAAAATAAGAGAAAGAGACCAAACAAATTTTGATTATCATGTCTGTCTAGGAATATATCCAATCCATATCCAAAAAACCCTTTAAGATAATCTTTTTTCTTCTAAAAGACTAATGCATCTTCCACTTTTCTTTCTTTCTCCAATAATTTTTTGTAATCACTATTCCAACTAATTATGTTATTATCTAGACGGTCCAATCCACAAGTAAAAGATGGAAATTTATAGGGTGAAACTTTATATATAGAACAAGAGTGCTAAATCGAAAAAGGAAATAGATGAATCTTTTTTGAGTGGCATATATGGATTAAAATTTCGTGATCAAAGGGTATTGAGATAGAGACATTGAAGTGGAAGATGTTACACGATGATATGAGTGGTTTCTTTAAGTGTTTCTTAACATGGCAAGTGGCCTTTTTCATGGACCCAACTTATGTATCTGATGCATATATCTAACCCCCTGTTTGGTGGAGATTAAAATCAAATTTTGATAAAAGTTGATAAAATATATAGTTAAAAGTTGTAGGTCCCATAAAATGTGTGATTAAAATTAGCTGTTAATCTTGACTTAAATTAAAATTAAAATTTTGATTTCTACTAGAGCATGATTAAGAAGTGAATGTATGATTGATGTATATATATGTGTGTGTGTGTGTGTGGTGGTCCTTAATTTAATTGGAACCTCTACCCCAATGCTTCCTCCATGCAGTACAGTCAGGTGCCTTGTACAAGCTAATACAAAAGTGTGTGGTAGTTTTGGGTCCTATCCTTTGCTTACAATGGTCCTGCAATAAAAAAAAATTGAGTCATCCCTTCACAGTTGAAAATTACAAATACGTTCGAGCATCTCGTTCAGCTTTTTCTTTTAGAAAATGACTGATAAGAAATTTATGACAATCGAAAGAGATACGTGTATATGCCACTTAAAAGAATCTCATGAAAAATGGGGACTCTTACATGTATTACTCGTGAAAATGTATTAGAAGGTTTGTTTCGAAAAAAAAAAAAAAAAAAGAACTAGCCTCATATAGTTATCCTTTCTAATTATTGATTGAATTATATCACACAATTTATATATTGAAATCATGTGATCTACGAATTGAGTTTGTTTGATATATATTGTTGAGAAAAATGTAGGAAAATCTGAAAACTTAATGAACTTCAAGACATGAAAAAACGTTATATTTTAAGAGATGTTTCTCCTCTATCCAATAAAGTCACAATTGGGATATGATAGAAAATCTCTCTCAGGATACAATGAAAACGTTTGATTTAAATTGTGACTATTTGATCAAATCAAGAAGACACTCGAAAAGAACTGATTGATGCCAAGAGAAAGAAAGAAGAATAATTTTTTAATGTGTTTTGCAAACGAGAATTCGTTCAGATCGATCCCCGTTGCGCAGCGGCAAACCCTAGTTCGGACGGCAAATCATTCGCAAAACAAAA